AGGGGCAGTTGGGGGTCCTCAGGTACTGCAATGCTCACAAACATCCTGCTGTCCCTCACAGGGCTGCCCGGGGACAAATGCACAGGGGAGAGCTTAGGGGACTCTCGCCCCTCGTTTAGTAGCAGTAACACTTGTGAGAGCCAGGGCCACCAACCAGCAGAGCCCCCACTTTGGTCAGCACGTAGCAGAGAAAGCAAGAACAAAAATCCTTCATTTCTGAGCTGTCTTAAACCCCTTCAGTTACAAAGAAAGGAAAAGCTGGAAACAAAAAGGATTTTTTATTTCACACCTCTCAAAATGTTTTGATATTTTCTAAATGAAAAGTTTCTCTGGAGTTTTGATACTGAAAAAACAACACCCTCCCCCAAGAATTTAGCAAAACACATTTGCAAAGTGTTTCAATGCTACCACACTTGCATTTTTCTCTGAAAAAGCAGCTTTGGTGCAAAAACTTCATTTCGCTCCAGCCTCATCCAGTTTCAGCATCATGCAGAGGTGTCACCTCCCTCTCTCTGTAAACTGTTAGCATCACATCCTCCACACAGCAGCAACTTGCACTTCGTATTCCAGCACTGGGGTACGGAAAACAGCAAGGGACATTATTCCGTCTGTATTCTCCTGTTATTCCTGCTCCTTCAACAGATTGAAGCTGTGGCCAAAAGAAGAAATTACAAGGCTCTTCCCATTTTGCCAGGAGCCTAGCAATTGCCCAATAAATCTCCATCTGCAGAAGTATTAGTCACTCGTGCCAAGGAAAGAAGCAAGGGTTTGAATGACTGAGACTCTCCCATTTTGCCTCTGCGAGCGCAGGAACAATACAAGCCGAGCCACAAAAAGCCGTGGCTCAGCAGAGTGATAAAGGACCCAGCCTCGCAGAGAGGCTTCCCACCTCCTACCAAGGGCCCTGCTGTTTCCTTTTCAGCTCGGTGATTTTTCCATGAGAAAATGCCCTGGGAAACTGATTCTTCAGTGTGGGGGGGACTTCTGTTCACGCAGCCCAAAACCAGAGCCATCATACGCCTTTCCTTCCAGACGGGAAAACAGAATCTTCCTAAGACGTCAGAGGAAGGCCCCTGGGAGCTGCTTCTCTCCCGCGCCCCATCCAGTAAGTTACCTGGCCCCCCGAAGGCAGAGGAATAACCCCACATATCCTATGGGCTAAAATTACCTCGAGTATGGTCTGTGCACCCACCGGCATGGCAGAAAGCTCTGAAAGGAAAGAGACCAAAATCCAGCGGCTGAAAATTGAAGAAGTCCAATTTTAGCTACAGTGTGTACTTAAGAAGAAAGAAAAAGAAATCCAGCGAGGATAGGCAGTCTGGGGATAATGTGTTTTTAAACAAAGATTGGGTCCATTTTTACCATGTACTTTAGCTTACGCAGAGTTATAAATGAGACGTAGAAACTACTGAGTAAAGTTCTCTGGCTTGTCTGATGCGGCCCAGGGTGGGTTTCGAGCTTTGCATGGACCAAACGCCCCAATTCCCTGCTCATTGCTAAAGCGCACTCGTTTTACACCAGTGGAGCAGTTTGTAAGCAGAATCCTTACAGGTGTTGGAAACAGGAGGCGGATTGCTGCAGGCTCAGCAGCGGCGAGCCCGCGTTGCACCCGGGAGCCGAAGCTCTGCAGCGCAGAGAACAGACGGGGTGTCTGAGCGTGGGGTGCGTGGGATGCCGGGCTCCCCAGCAGGACTCAGACGCCGGCCCGGGGATCGTTCTGGACAATCCCTCACTAACAGCAGGGATGCCCATCGCCAGGCAGCCCCTCCGCGGCGCCTGCTCGGCCGAGAAAGGATGCTCTGGGGCCAGCCTCTTCCCTTCACCCCTCTCAGTGCCTCCCCAGCACCCCCGGTCGCAACCGAGCTCGCCGGGGAGAGCAGAGGGCTCCTGGCAGTGCCGGCAGAGCGTGGCTCAGAGCTGTGGGGCTGATGCTCCTGCTCTGCCCGGGATTCACTCCCCGCCGCGCTGAGAGCACTGCCCTGGAGGCCTCTTTGCTGACGGCCCGGCAGAAACCGCAAGCCAGGGATTTCGCCTGGAGAGCCCAGTTTTGTCTCATTTCTGAGGAAGGATTCACTTTGCCTGCAGGAAAGCAATGTGATTCCAAGGAGGAGGAGGAGGCTGAGGTGAGACATCACACGACACAAGGTCCAGCTGCGACCCCAAACCACCACATTGTGCCTCTTCTCTCCAATTTGTTGTCTGCTCTGGTGTACAAAGCTCTGGCTCTTTACCACAGGGCTGATCAGAAGGGAGGCAGCTCTGTCTGCGCCTTTGCAAAGGGTGGCTCGGAGGTGTGATCCTCCAAGCCTTCGTGATGTGAAGCGCAGGAAGTGCGAGGGAAGCAAGGGAGATAACGGCTACGCAGGGGCAGGGATGGTGCCTGAGGACTGTCTGTCAGGCTTGGTCCAGACCTCCAGGGCTTGCATTTGCCAGTAAGCAAAAACGTGTACCAAGGAGGCTGCAAAAGGCAACCCACAGGAGACGGGCTTCACTTCGGAAAGGTCGATGCAGCCTCCCGTTGTGGGAGTCTCTTCGTCCACCACTCAATCCAGTACCAGGAGCACAACATTCACAATGCGCTGTTAGGCAGCTGAGCTGCCCGATGAGGGGAGAGCCTGCTGGCTGAATAAACCAGACGCCTTGCTTCGTGAGGCACCTCTGCCTCCCGCCTCCAGCAGCAGCATCAGCCCCACCGTGGAGCTCCAGTGCCTGATGCGACAGCAGCACTGCAGGGCGTTAATCCTACGGGGAGGCGAGGAGTAAAATGTGTCAGCTTCCTAGAGGTGAGGATGAAGGCGACGGACTGGAAACTCTGCCAGCACCCATCCCTTCCAAAACAATGCCTGAGGCTCCCCGGTCAGGAAGGAAGCGCTCCCTAACGATGTGGCCTGGGAGCTCTGCCCCACGGCCTGACCCCACTGTTCCCACGCGAGAGCCCGGCAGCAGCTCCACGGCGCATGTGCCATCAATCCTTCAGCCCTGCGGGGAGACCTTTGGATGGACAGGCGCCCAGGCTCGGAGTGACCTTGCTTCAGGGAATTAAGCCAGAGAAATGAGTGTGAATTCAAGTACTTTCCATCCAGAGCAGCTCTGCAGAGCTCCTGGGGAGCTAGAGGTTCAGTCTCATTTAATTATGGGAAGAGATAAGGGAAAGACTCCTTCATTGGCAACAGACATTCACAGAAGTCAGGCATCCAGTCTGCTGATCTCTGTTTTGACTCAACCTGTGCTGCTTTTCACAGTCCCTGTACCTAAAATAAAAAGGAACTCGAAAAAAATCCCCCCTGAAGGGGCAGAGAGCCTGCATTTCTCTCCGGGATGCCTGCACCCTCGCAGCAGGCGGGGGCTGGGGTTACGGCTCCCCCCCCGCCTGGCTCCACCTTCCCCAAAGCCAGGGTGCGGGAAGCAGAGCGAGCACTTTCTGGTCTAGTTGCCATGCCTAGGAGGATCCTCTGCTCCCAGGTCTGCTCCACAAGTACAGTTCCCTTGTTTCTTTTCAAAACCAACATGTTTTATCACTGCCAGAAGTATTTTTATTGTTAAGAAGAAATCACAACACTTTTCCAGTTCACCACATGGGAGCAAAACCAGGGGCATGGAGCTGTGTTTGTTTCTTAGGGTAAACAGAAGTTAATAAAGAAGATTAAGAATGTAATTATACCTCAGTGGCACTACGAAAGGAATATTAGCAATCATTTAACAGACAAGAGGTTCAGTCAAAATGGGTTATTTAATAGGACTCAAAATATACAGACAATGGAGCAGAGCAAAGGGCTTCCAGTGCCCGTCAGCTCCAGCCTGCAGAGATGCACACAGAAGTCGGGGCCAGGACCGTCAGCTGCTGATCAGGGGACTCATAGCGCATGTTCTGACAGCTCAGCTCAGAGCACAGCCTCCCCACAGGCCGGCAGAGCTGCAGAGACTCGGTGCTCCTGCAGCGACGTCTCTCCCAGGCTCTCCTGCAGGTCCCCATCCCAGTTACGCAGCCGTGTCCCGCTCAGAGCTGTGTTTGCGAGAAGACAACGAGGGTGCTGCGGTTCGGGGCACGTCCTGGTTCATCGGGGCAGACGCCAACTCCAGCAGTCGCTGCCCCGATGCTTCTCGTGCCCGTGAAGGGTCCTGGCGTGGATGGGGGAAGCTACGGCAGCAGCGCAGCGCGGGATCGTCCAGTTCTGCTCCGAAGCTGTACGGTCAGTCGTGGAAGCTCCGGATGGGCGAGACAGGGTTTCTCCAAGATTCACCGTCTGCTGCTTGACCTTGGCGCAACATGAGAGCTCTCGGTACTTCGGCCGCGGAACCCCGAAGCTGTGACTTCCTCAAGGAAGCTGCCAAGCAAAGTTAAGGTTAGCAGAGGCAAGGGCCAGCTTTTCACTGACGCAGACAGAAAGTACCCACGTGGCCTGGCCTCAAGCCTTTCAACAAACCCAACAAGTGCTCTACACCCTCAGAGCTAGGAAAACATCTGTTTTCTCCCCTGGTGTCACCGGGATGGGGGGACAGAGTCGCTCCCTCACATGTGGTGATGGTGGCAAAGAGGAGAGGACCTGGCCACAACAGCCTGCGATCCAGCAACAAAACCCACCCAGGAGCAGAATCCCGGTCCCTGCGCTGATGCTCCCTCCTCACGTCAAACCCACCAGCTCCCTGCCCAAGGAGGCAGCAGCGAGGGAGTGTCAGGGACTGCGGGTCCCTGAAGGAGCACGTGACAGAGACACTCGTCTCCTCCGATGTCCACGCAGCACCCTGAGAGCTGGCATCAGGGCCACCCTCTGCAGCCGAGGGACAGTGGTGGGGTGGACGATCACCCTCTGAGCTACACCTCCAGCTGCCTGCAAGGGAAAATGGGGGGCACTACCTCAGACTGGGACTGCAACAGTCAGGAGACGCTAATCCAAGAGGAAACAAGTGAACGGCAGCCTTGGAGAATGCTCCCCTCTCCCAGCGACAAATCCTCCCCCCAGCCAGGACGAATTCACTGAGGGAGAACAAAGTGCAAAGCTGTGGGACTGCATTGACCTGCCCTGGGCACCAACATCTGGAGCACTGAAATCTGGGGCTCCCAGCATGGATCACCAGGCCAGCATCTTCTCTGAACGTGGCCATTTGTCCTTCAATGCTCCACCCCATCTGGGAGGTCTCGCCTCTCCCCACGCCACGAACGGCAAAGCTTCCAAACGGAGGGCAGCCGCTCCGCGCGGGCTCAGCTCAGCCCCACTCGCCTTTCGGTGACAAAGCCAGGAAGGCCGGCCTTCAGGCTTGTTTTTCTGCTCGCTCTCAGTCTTCCTGTGCGGACGATAAGGCAGGAAGAGGCAGGGTGGAAACCTCCTGCTGAGGCATCCTTGACATTTCACAGCCAGGGCCTTCTGGAAAGCAGCCCCGCGCGCAGCCTGGGTCACTGCTTGTGCCTCCCGCCCCAGCTCCCAGCCTCTGCCCAGGGCTCACAGCCGCAGCAAGACCCCCCCTCCAATTTCCAGCCTGCTCAGACCACACTCAAATCTTAATAATGAGCCACAGGGAGACCTCTGGGCACTAACCATTCATTCAGTCAGCTCTCAGGGAAGTTTTAACCCCGTAAAATACTTAAGCACACACTCAGCTTCATCCCAGTCCCTCCTCTGTAAGATTTTCCATGGAATCTGAAGGGAGTTTGGGGGCTAGACCCCCAGGAACTTGTCAGTTTGTGACTTATGCACAAGTTTGCCCTATGAAGTCCTATAAAGTCACGTGAACGGCTCAATGCAACGGTTCCGCACAAACCCCAAAAGACAATGCGTTCCGAGACACATTTGAATAGGTGAAAAAGAAAAAAGTCAGGTGGAGATCAGCTGCTGGGGGCTGGCGTTGGCCAACTGCGGCGGGGAAAAAAGGGAAAACAGGTTGAAGCAGGGAGCAAGCCTGCAGTAGGTTAACGAAGACGTCTGGGAGTCAGGAGGGCTGGGCTCTGTGACTTGCTCTGGTTTGGATTCTGAGATCCTGAAATGGGAATCTGCAAGACCGTTCAGTCCTAGCCCAAACCTGTTTCCACTGACGCCCTGTTACGTCGTTAGGAGCAGAGTTAGGCGAAGCATTTGACAGTTCAGAAGGTCCTGTACTGGAGAGCTTGTGGTGTGTCTTCAAAGCCTCGTACGGACACGGCTGAAGCTGTGATCACTGCGGAGGCAACTCTTATTTCTCAGCAAATAATGTCTGCTGCACGCAGGCCTGGGGCTGCATGGTGCTGGGCGAGGTGGCAAGAGAGATGATTTCTACCTCGGTGAGTCTGCAGGATGAATTTCACCCATTCTGTCACCAGGCAGCCTTCAAAGGCCAAGTTTACCCCTGAAACATGCCGCGATGTTTCAGTCTCCCGGCTCACACCCGTCATGAGCACAGATTTGTTTCTCATCCGGGCGGATCTGCGCAGCGAGCTGGGAAGTAGGCAGACGTACAGAGTGGGATTTGTTGGAGCTGCACCGAGGTCCGCTGCATCACACCTGCACCCCGGCAGCCTCAGCCCGGCTTCACAAAGCACGGCGGAGCTTCAGCCAGCAAAGCACGCCAGAGCAAGGAAGGCTAAACCTGGGAAAGATGGTTGTTTAAATAGGTCTAAAAGTGGGTTAAGGTTTGAGACTAATTCAATCCTCTCAAGAGGAGAAAAAAATCCTTTGAAAGAATAACACTTTAAAGGTCCTTGCGTTGTTTTTGTTTGATTATAGGCTTTTATATGCCTTCGCACGGTACTCCTGCCCGTGAAAGCCGAACGGGAGCACGGCCTGCAGAGGTGAGCGCTAGCCGAGGACCAAAGCTTGGAGCCAGTCCCAGTTTCACCAGCAAGTGACGGCTCCCTCCTGCCCTCCACTGCTGCTCCCCACCTCCATCATGCAGGCAACTGGCCTTGTCTGGAGCACACAGCCGACCAGACCGTCTTCTCTGGTGTGCTGCTGTGGCTCCCGGGCAGCCGCGCCGACACCTGCGAGCGACCCTTCCCATGGCATCCCCGTGCATCCGTACCAGAGGGCTGCGAAGCCAAAGGAGCTGTGACGCCTGCCCACAGACTGCGGCGCTGGCCCGCTGGCGTTCCTTCGCCGCCGGCACTCGCACCGGCCGGTCTGTGCAGCCTGGGAGGCGGCTGAATGCTCTGCAAAACCACAGCAACGCTCCCACAGAAGATCTAATGAGGATACGTTACCAGGAAGATGGTTACTCTGGCAATGCAGTACAGTGCTACCAGTTTCTAGGTTGACTCATTCCTTCAGTATGCTGATCAAGTTATCTGAACGTTAATGCTTTTTAAAAAAAAAAAAAAAGAGACAGGAATAAAGACCAGGATATACCACGAATCCTGCAAAAATGTGATTCCCTGAAACCACGTCTGAAATAGGTCTACCTGCCCAGGTTGGGAATCATGAGGGTTTAAAAAACAAACAAACAAAAAAAAAACTCTCATGCAGATGCCTGCACCAATTTCCAGATCTCAACACCGCACCATGTGGAAAGAGGCATTCTGGGAGGGCAGCAGCCTGATTTATCAGCGGTGTACAGGAACATTGCCTGCGCTGTGGTCATTCAGCTCGGTGATTGCAGCTCGCGAGCTGTCCCTCCTCCAGCTTTATTTTTAGGCATTAGAGTCAGGCAGACTGAGTTCTTAACAGAGAATGACTTGCTTTTATTTTTAAAGGGGACTCCTGTTTACTTGTGATCTAGGGAGAAAGTTTGTGTGTGTGGAGAGGGAGATGCAGGGAGACACTGTCGCTTTAGACTTCTGGGAGCTCTCAAAAGCAGGCAGCACGACCGCCCCTGAGCATCCCCCGCACAGAAAGCCTCCCCGTCCGGAGCGCAGCTGCTGGAGGAGCCAAACTCCCACCCGCAGCGGCGAGGTGGGAGCTCTCAAAACCAGGCAGCACGACCGCCCCTGAGCATCCCCCGCACAGAAAGCCTCCCCGTCCGGAGCGCAGCTGCTGGAGGAGCCAAACTCCCACCCGCAGCGGCGAGGTGAGCTGGGGCACAGTAAAAACGCACCGTGCCGCGTCTGTTGTTATTCCCCAGGACCCTGAGGATGCTGCCACAAACACAGCGAGCATCTCGCGCACCGGGCGCAGCTACTCCGGCTCTGGCCC